CTGTCCCTCAGCCGCCGCCACCCCCTGCTCGGCACCTGCATCCCGCACATACCTGCACTCGCGCCTCGGTGAGGTCTATCTTGAGTGCCAGCTCCTCCCGGGTGTATATGTCAGGATAATGAGTCTCTGCGAACACCCTCTCCAGTTCCTTGAGCTGGGCGCTGGTGAACGTAGTTCTGATCCGCCTCTGTTTCCTCTTCTCGTTTAAACCCCCGTGGTCGGTGAAGAGTTTGTAAGGAACTGAAGAAGGAAAAGAGGGAAAAAGAGGAAGAAGGGGGAAAAATGTCTGTGAATCTCTGGTAGCTTTCCCAAAGATATTTTTCCGGAAAGACGAACGGTGTTTTAAAAAACTGCCGCATCCTTCTGAGGGATCCTAATACCCCTGAATAACCGGAGAAGTCCAGTAGTCATTGAGGAGAGAAAAAGAGGAGGGGGTTAAATATGGAGAGAGAGAGAGCGAAGTTTAACACTAAATATGTATGCTAAAGGCTGAATGTGAGGATGTGTTAAATGCGAGTGTGTTAAAATGCCGGAACCCAGCCGCAAAGCACGGGCTGGTCCTGTTCAAAGCCAAAGATTCAATAGGAGAAGGGAAAAATGATTGAAAGTGCCAGAAAGCATTGAAGGAAACATCAGGCTGCTTGCTAGCTGTCACTCAGTAATGATATTACCAAACTGCTTCTATATTTATTTGGATTTCTCTAGTCTTACCAGCTGATCCTGTTCAAAGAGGTTTCGGTAAAAAGTGCTGTAAAAATAATGACCGGCGAAAAATAGATCTGCACTGCTGCTGCTGTTGTTGGGTTGGGTTTCCTTTTTTTTTAAGACAGTGTCGGTAATGAGCTTTACTCTTTGGTTATTTAATTATTTTCTAAGCTTTACGTCTCATCGCAAAGTAAATAAATTATGCCTATCATTTTGGCAGCTTAAGATAATTTTGTTGGCGGTTCGGGTGTGACTAGGATAGTGTAACCCTGTAAGTGAATTACCCCTCCCTGCAATCGCTTCTAACGTGATAAATTCTTTCATTTGTGTAAGCAAATTTCGTTTGGTAAATACTAAACACATTTCCATTTTCAAATGCAATCAAGGCTTCCTATATACCAGCAGCGAGGCGGCTGCCGGGGCTAAGAAAGCTGGAGGTCCTTACCTGCTGCGTATGGACTGCTCTGGTGGTCCCTAAGAGAGCCGAGACTGCAGGATCCTGGAGTGAGGGATGGGCAGCCAGAGGTGGCCCCAAAAGTGGTCCTTATAGGGTTATATTGAAAGCCACTGGCTTGGCTGCAGGAACTGAAGTCAGCATAAGCTGAAGCCAGGCTCGAAGTGTCCATCCCAGCCATACAGGACTCGTAGGCAGAGGAATTGAGGTAAGAATATTCCATTTTATACATTGAAAAGGCTCTGGATGGCTCAGCCAAGTGGAAAAAATGAAATAAAAGCTGGATATATGGAGAAGGTGCCTGTGGTGGGGAGATGTGCACAGCTCAACGCCTGCTTCGAGAGTGGCCTCCTTACTACCAGCAGAGCCTAGTTTTATGAAAAAGCCTCCTATGAGATGCCTTGCCTGAGGTCTCTAGAGCATATAGTCCTCATAATAAACTTGGCTCTTTCCACTTGGACAATAGCAAAGCGGTTGGTCTTATTGCTGGCGCTTTTTACATGACAATAACTCATCAGTCTATTGGGCTGGCACTGGGGGACCGAGCTGTCCAACCTCCCTATCGCTGATTCCTGCATCTCTAATTAGAATTTAATACCACACCATTACGCACCGAGCCCCTCGATCCTCCCTTCTAACCAGCTCCCTGCCCTTTAATTCAATCACACTACTTGGAAATAATGAAAGTTGGGTGACGATTCTCCCTGATCCAATTTGCCCCTGCTTTTAAGCCTTTTTAACTGATCATATACCTTAGGCATAAATTGAGATAGCGTGGTTCCCCACCGCCCCCCAACCCCTCTCTGATCTTTTTTTTTTCTTTTTTCCTTCTTTTTTTTTACCCCTCTCCTTTTTTTTTTTTTTCATTATTGTGTGTGCGTACTTGGTTAGGGAGAGAAACCTTGATGTCATCGAGAAACCTGTTTTGTAAGAGCGTTACACGCTCAATTTAACAACAAGTCTACCCCCCGAAGTGCATGAAATGCTATAAAGGACTGGGACATTAGCTGACTCAGGCACACTGTAAAATAGAGTAAGTGGGCCAGTGGGGCTGCTTTTTTTTTTTTTTTTTTTTAATGGGAAGAGGGAGAGTGTTTCTTTATTATACACCTGGTTCAGGGGTAAAAACCCAGCAGCTTACAAATCGCATNGCCCGGGGGGAGCCGAGCCCGAGGCCGCCCCGCTCCCTGCCCTCGCTGTCCGCAGAGGATGCAGCACCAGAAGTGCTGCTCTAAGGGCTGGCGAAGGCTCTCTGCAGCCTGTGGGTTTTGCCCTGTTTGTTTTCCTTTTAATGGATATCCCTTAACATTGTCCATCTCCAGTTTCCGAGGTAGTGACAAAAGGTCAAATCTGACACATCTTCTCCCCCCAGTCAGCCCGTTTGCAAATAATTAATAAGGGCACAATTAGGCAGTAATGATGGGACGGGCAGTTATGGTCTTCCTGATGGTAACGGAGATGGATGCTACTGAGCAAATCTTTTCTTGACGACACAGTTCAGGTTCTGCGACATGAGCCTTGGATCTCTCTCAGAAATAACCCCGAGACCTCCCCCCAAATAAAGCCCTAACAAGAAGTCAGAAGAGCACCGTAACTATGTTTGCTTTTGGCTTTTATTATCAACAATCAATTAATGGTACACTCTTGGAAAACTATATGCACATGTAGAAATATTTCCCCTTTTAAATAGAAGCATTCATTTTAACCACATATAAATAAATCTGGAAACCCTGAACATAATTTATGACCATTATGCTCACGAACATATTCCAACAGGTAGGGAAAAGAAAAAAAAATGAGACGACATGCAACCAATAATAAAAATATATATAATTGCCTGAACCTGGTCTCTCTAAACGCAAAGGGAACCGAACCCGTGAGAACCTTATTTCTCCATAAAGACACGCCATAGAGACTACGAGAAGGGAAAACATTATTTATACGGTCAACTAGACAAGTCTGTACTGATATTAACACTATACAGTTGAGTCACAGAACACAGTTGTAGAAAGACACGGAAAAAGAGAAAGCATACCTGGCGACATTCAACTAAGAGCTATAGTTTGTGCCTTGTAAAATAAAATTAGAAAACCCTAACGGAGATGCCTAAAAACTGCGTAGACCGTGTAATAATAATAATTAATAATAATTAATTAATAATAAATACAGGCCGCCCTCCGTGAGGAGCGCGGGCCCTGCAGGGACCGGATCCGCGGTACAGGAAGCGG